AATGTTCTAAGTTCCTCATGCAGTTCAGGAAGCAGTTAGAAATAACTTTAGACTTTAAAAGAAAAATATGCCTGTCAAATACTTGTAACACTAGAATCTTAAATTACCATGTATAGTCTCCAAAATACTAGAGGAAAAAAAATCTGACTTTACAAAAGTCATTCAATTGGAAAATTCAGGAAAGGAGAACAAAGGAAACATGGAAAAAGCAGTAGAAATAAAAAGCATAAAATAATGTGTGGAAATCATTATTAATATACCAGTAATCATAATAATTGTATCTGTAACTGTAACACAGTAATTATAACTACACTCACCAGTGAAAAGACAGAAATTGGTAGCTAGGGGCTGTTTGCAATACATCCACCTAAAACCTAAATAGAGAGAAAGAATAAAATTATGATAATGGTACCATGTAATAATAGTTAATGAAAGAAAGCGATGTGGCTAGCTCAATATCAGACAAAATATATTTTAAAGCAAAAATACTTATTAGAGGTATGATAGCCACTATATAATAATCAAAGACTTAATTCATCAAAAAAATACAAAAACTCAAAACAGAACCCCAAAATATGTCAAATAAAAGCTGAAAGAAATAAAGGAAGAAATTAACAATTTTAATGGGAGATTTTAACACACCTTCTCAGTAATTTTTTGAATAAGTAAACAAAAATATTTGTAAGCATAAATAAAATTTAAACAACATAATTAAGGAGAATTTAATGAATATGCCAGAATATATATGAAATATACAAAAAAGAATAAATACACTCTCTGAGCACATATGACTGCAACCCATTTAAGTAAGAAATTAACTATTAGAAGCTACATTGTTTAAAAAAAAAAAACCTATACAATTGCATACCTCAAAAAGGCACTAAACAATTCAAAAGTCAAAGAGAAAACATAATGAACTAAATAGAATAATGAATTAAAATAGACTTAGAACTAAATAATAATGAAAATTCTACTTATCAAAATGTATAACCAGCAACTCAAGTAGTGTGCAGAGGAAAATATATAGCCTCAAAGTTTACATTAGAAGGTAAGAAAAGCTAAAATTATATAAAACCAATGAAAGTAGAGAAAGGGGAGAGAAGAGGGGTATAAATTAAAGAAAGACATTATAGGAAAAGAAAAAGACAGACTAGGGGATTAATAAATATAATAGATCTTTAAAGAGAATTTTTTTTTAAATAGAAAGATCCTGCTCAATTTTGATCAAGAAAAAAAAACAAGAAAGAAGGTACAGATGTGCAATATTAAAGATGAAAAGACTAACAAATTAGGGCAGAGATTAAAAAGATAATTTTATATTAATAAATGTAAAAACAGATTGGATGGACAATTTCCTGGAAATATTACAGAAGAAAAAAACAAAAATAAAAGCTATTTTTCTTGAAATGATTGCATTCATGGGCCTTCATATTTTAATTTCAAACAATTCTTAACTCAAATAAGGACAATACATAAGTTAAACAAAAAAATCATTCTCTCCAAGTGCTGTATCTCACAACAGTTCATATATAATGACCAAATCCATTTGTGGAAAAAGCTAGAAACCCACCTTAGTAATAATCGTCATAAGTGAACACGGGCACATTTTTCGTTCTAAAGTAATGCAAATATCAATAAATTTAATCATTAATTTTCCCAAAATACGTACAGAGAGCACCATTTTTTATGAAAATACAAGTTGCCTCATTGATATACAACATGCTAAGAAGGCAGCAGATGGCTTTACTCAAAACCAAGCAATATTTGAATATCACAAGTCTCACTTTTATAAACATTAGTCATGCATCTTTGTAGAATATTATTCAAAGATCCTTCCCCTTATGGACCCACTTCTATCAAGCTGCTTACACTGCATCACATAAGGATACATCAGATTCAAAAAAAGTTGCTGCCTATGATGGAAGAAACACACTGGAGTTTCAGCTTGTCAGCTATAGAATTTGTGTCTCTCTACAAAGCAGCCAGGATGATCTCAACATAGAAATCAGATCATCATATTTTCCTGCTAAATATCCTTCAAAATCCACATTCTTTACCAAGTTCTCCAGACCCTGAATGATCTGGCCATTTCTGACTTTCCTGTGTTCTCACCACTCTCAGTGACTTCAGCCTCAATTACCTTCTGACCAGACTTAGAACATTATTAAACCCTTTTCTGCCCCAGGACCTGCTATTGTCTTTGTCTATATGCTTTCCCCCAGCCTCTGTGAGACTGGTTTGAGCTTCTCTCATATACAGTCACATAATCAACAGGACCATACACAGTTACTACACCCATAAATGCAGCATCCCTGATTCTAATTTACTCTATATTATTCTCCTGGGATGATTATAAAAATAATAAAATAAAGCCCCCCTTGTTCAAGGAAACCTACAAAAAATTAAATTTGCCCATGCAAAACACCAGTCTGCACCACCAAACAAGTTTTGGGTGTCTCCTTTCTTACAGACCATTAAAACACAGGAATTGGTCTAGCTTAACTGGTCACAGAAATCTGGTCTAGCTTAATTACAGAGCAGATAAACTGTACACATATTCTTTCCAGCTTTCCAATAACAGACAGTAGAGTTTAAAACAGACCTTATTCAGTTATATGTATGCTATGTTTTGAATGAGCCACAAGCAATGTTTTGTTCCCTTCAATTTTCTTAAAAATATTTTGCAGAGAGGGAAATAAAAAATGTACTTATGTACTTTTATACATGTATTCAGTTCTCCACCATTCATTTTCTCCCTTTATAATTATGGGGATAAAAGTACTTGCTCGAAATAAATGCTAGAACCAAAAGAAAGGCTATAATTTCCTTAAAAAAAACTCCATCTTTAAAAGGTGGTATTAGTGAGACCCCCAAAAACTTCAAGTCACCAGATCATTATTTTTAGTATAAACCTGTAAGTCAATGTCCACAGCTGTAATATGGGACAATAATGCATGTCTGAACAAATTCTCAGAGTTAATATAAGTATCACCGGAGTTTTAGGAGGAACTACTTTATAAATTGCAATACAGGATTATTTTCCTTTTCAAAGGATGACAGTTACTGTGTGAGTCACACAATTAACTGTTCAAGTTAGTAAGGGATATTTCCAGAGTCAGAAATCATAAACTCAAATGTCTGCAGGAGTGAGGGATGTAAAATACATGAGTGAAGCAGATCTTGATGAAATAAAGGCAGAGGCTGACAGCAGTGTGGCAAAGTGGAGAATGTATGCCCCATCCGAAGTGGACAGCTCATCCTGGCTTCTGCCATAAGCAGTTGTATGAGCTGTCTTGCCTGGTCCTCCATTTTTTCAGGAGAAGCCAGGATTCCATGAACTTACACAAAATTTACTAATTTGAAAATATTGGTAAGTAAATCAATTACTTTAAAGTATTGAGCTGACTCAAAAAAACATTTCTGAAGGCCAAATTCAGTTTGAAACTATCAGCACATTTCTTCTATATGAAGTTTTGCATTTTTTAATCAAGAAATGGCCTATAAACATATTTACATTGTCTAATCACCCTCAGATATCGGGAAAAATGGATATTAACAGTGGCTAGCTTTTTTTTTTTTTTAACTGCTTACCATATATCCAAGTACCTACTGTGCTTACAGTTTTATATGCAGTATATCATTTAATTCTCAGGAGAAACCCTTTAGAAAAGCATTACTGTAACCCATATTTTCAGAAAAGAAAACTGAAATTAGAAAGTTTTCAAGGTCATAATGCTTAAGTTCATGGCAGAAATTAAGTGTTCAATGATAGAGATTTTAGTTCAAAAGTGTAATGCTTCCAAACTTGAAGTTCCTGACTTCCTATGTGTCGACAAAGTGGTAAGTGATTGTCTATGGATCAATTTGAAAGCTCATCAAAAATCTTCTATTTACCCTCTAATGAATAACTGATTTTGTTTCCCATTATGAGGGGAAGGGAGTTTTTTTGTTAGATACAATCATTCAAATGATCAATTCCCAGACAAAACTACTGAAAGTATCCTTGTTTGTAAAAAGAAAAAGAAAACACAGTTGGAAATGACAATGAAGAAATTATTTAAATAATAAACATTTTACACCAAAACTTTATATACTTTATATAAAAGAACTATACATTCTAAAGCGCATTTCAGCTTCCAAATATTTATTTATCAAAGTCACTTGTAGCAAATAATGGGCCTTCAAATATTTTGGATTTGATAGAGAAACATTATTTTTCAAAGAATATATGCAACAAAATTTAGGCTGTAAAGATGCAGTCGAAAAAGGACAAAATAATGCTATCCTATTATGTGACATGACCAAATTTATATATATATGTATATATATATATATATATATATATATATATATATATAAAATACACACACACATATATATACTAAGCTGCTATTAAAGATTACCAAATTGGCCGGGTGCCGTGGCTCACGCCTGTAATCCCAGCACTTTGGGAGGCCGAGGCGGGTGGATCACGAGGTCGAGACCATCCTGGTCAAAATGGTGAAACCCCGTCTCTACTAAAACTACAAAAAATTAGCTGGGCATGGTGGCGCGTGCCTGTAATCCCAGCTACTCAGGAGGCTGAGGCAGGAGAATTGCCTGAACCCAGGAGGCGGAGGTTGCGGTGAGCCAAGATCGCGCCATTGCACTCCAGCCTGGGCAACAAGAGCGAAACTCCGACTCAAAAAAAAAAAAAAAAAAAAAAAAGATTACCAAATTGAATCTTTTAGTTTGCATTTGTGTTCCCAAATAATAATTTAAAATGACTAAGACAAATGAAGGTAATTTTTCATACGCTAGGCATCTCATCAATATATTCATGAAGACCATGTTATCTGTGAAAGGTTATGCATCTGTAAATTTTTGCATTTAAAAATAATTATTTTTTATAATGTGATAAAAATCAATATGGCATGAATAAAATGCACTCCCATTTATCTGTCAAAACTTGGCACGTAGGTCCTGGCAAGTCCAGAACACTTGTCAATTTTATCACCTACCTTTAGAAAAGCTTGAAAATAACGCATAATGATACGGAGACAGCAAGATTTAGAATACTGTGTTCAGGCTGCACTGGGGCCCTGGGCCTATAACCCAAAACAAAAAGATCATGGCTTTATGTGAGTAAACACTGAGGATCTGGGGAAAATAAACAGAAGTTGAACTTAGAAACGTCCAGGAAGAAGGGCAGACTAATAGTTTTATCCTCAGTAACTGTTTTCGCACTTTTACACAACGAACAAGGAACGCAAAGCCCCTCATTTCATGTGCTGGCATTAAACAACTCTCAAGCTATCAGATCCATATGAATTATAAAAGTGCTTACGAGACTTTAAGTGCACCTGTACAACTAGTTAATAGAAAATCCATGAAGATTGAGTTTTCAAAAACGCTTTTTTGTGGGTAGGTTTCAGTGGCCTTGAAACAGTTAATTCAAGGCTTATGGACAATTTCCTTTCTAACAATAACAATTTTTTAAAAACTTTCTGGAAGGGGAATATTAGCAAGGTGCGAATTAGCAACTACTTGGAGGACAGAACAGGGCTGTTGGTGAGCAGAGGTAAAAGGACATCCTTTTCTGGTAGGTTTATTTCTCAGTAATGATCACACTTTTCTTGCCTGCTCTTTCTTCTTTAAAGAAAAACTCCTTTACAGGTGCGTTTGGGGTTGTAGGGACCCCAGCTCCAGCAACCTGTTTGCTCCGAGAAGTTACCCAGAACGCAGTTGCTTCAGGGACCTGCAGATTCGGCGCCACCTGTGGGCGGCGCCGCCCAGCCCGCGAGCGCCACAGGTACCCGAGGCGTCACCCGCTGGACCCGGCGCCTCCGTCCTCCAGTCCCCCTGCAAGTCCCCCTCAGTTCTTGTCTCTCTTTACCCTTCGAGGTCGTCTCCTTTCGTTTCTTTCCCAAGTTCACGCCTCAAGATCTTCCTTCACCCCTCACGTCCACTCTTCCTGTTCCCTCCTCCTGTTTCCCTTCCGTTTCACGCCTCCGGTTCCCTCCTCAAATTCATTCCTCAGTTCCCGCCTCGACATCCCCCCTCACTATCCCTCGCGTTCCGCCCTCGGGTTCACCCGCAAGATCTTCCCTCAAGTCTACCCCTCACGTTCACCCTTCCCGTTCCCTCCTCCTGGGTCCCCCTCGAGTTCACCCCCCGCCCTAGTTTTCCCCTCAAGTTCATTCTCTCCTTCTCCCCTCAAGCTCTCCCAGCAGCTCGTTCACCCCTCACCTTCCCTCTCCGGTTGCCCGCTCCACTTCTCCCCTCGAGTCCTCTCTCTCACCCCAGGTCCAAACACAGACACAGGTCCTCCGGGTCTGACCCGGACGGGAAGGCGGTCGCGGCGGTCTAGCGCTCAGGGAGTCCCGGGCGCGCCCCGCAAGCCCCCAGCGTCCGAGGAAGGGGGGCCGCCCCCGGCGCCGCCCGGACCCAGCTCACCGCTGCCGCCCCTCGCCGGTCCCTCGCGCTGCCCGGACCCTACAGGAAGCCGGGCGCCTCCTTACTTCCTTCTGAGGGCGCTGGCGACGGGCGCTCCCTAGAGGGGCGGGTGGGCAGGGGCAGCCGAGCGGGGAGGAACTGGGCCGCCTGCCGGGGTTGACGGGAGGAGCTGACCGGGGCCACCTGGGCCGAGGACGCCTCTTATCCCGGCTCGCGGAGAATATCCTTCCTCCCTCCGCGCTCGCCACCGTCCTGGGTGACGGTCGCGCGGGGAGGTCGCGCCATCCGCGCCATCCAGCTCCTCGCAGGGCCCTTGTCTGGCTGCCTAGGGTCTTCCAGAGACTCCGGCCGCGCCTCCTTGGCCCAGAGCCCGGCGGGAAGTGAGCGGGGCCGGCGAATCCAGTAGCCCTCTTGGACTGCCCCAATGCCTGGAGCAAATTCTGCTCCCTGACCCGTGTGGTGTCTTCCTCCCAGGAACTTGAGTAAGTCTTTTTTCCACTCCTTTTTTATGAATATATGGTGAAGTTTTCCAATGGCTCTATAATATGTGGTATCACAACAGATTGAATGCAGAAACAGATAATGTCTTCTGTTACGCCAGATATTAAAAAAATGTGCAAGAATATAAAACAGTGCGACTCCTACCATTAAACTTTTTTGGTTTTGGAATATATAGGTATTTTTCATTTAACAATATGCTACTCGTGTTAATATGTAATGAGCTTACTAGTGAAATATGCTTTTTAGATTTCTCCGTTGTAATTGCGATAACACAGAAAAGTTCTTTAGAGCTCTCAAAATTTTTTAAGAGTGTAAATAAAGGATGGTTCTAAGACCACAAAGTCTGAGAACCTAAGACGATGAAAAAAGAAACATATAATTAAGCTATAATGATGAAAAGAATGGCATTAACACGGAATAGAATAGTGTGTTCAATCCAACCAGCCTAAGATCATCAACAATAAAACCTGCAGTCCCACAAAGTCACGTTCCTTGACTCAGTTTTACAGTGGAGATACTGCACACTAGAGGAATCATGAAGTGGAGTTTTGATAGGCTCAAAGCAAAGCAGAACTGCGGGTAAGGGGTCAACATGAGGTTTGGGCTGTGACCAAGGGTTCTGTTTTCTTGGATAAATATGGAATGCTGTCTTGGGAAACCCCTTATCTGAAGCTCTGTACTTGAGTTGCAAATTAGGGCCACATCTCTGTTGTCAAAGTGAGTTAGCGCCTACAAGCAATTATAAGAGGTTTCAGTCTTAGTGGCATAATTTCAAAAATCAAAATTTCTGATAGTCTATGAGCTTAGGAAGCAAGATTTTCCAATGAGTTAGAAAGAAGTAGTCACTCAAAAAAGGGGACTGTTGTTGACATTTCACAGTGCAGCCTGACGTTGGAAGAAGTGTGGTGTCCTGTTCATCTTACACCTGGCAATATCGATATTTTTGTTTTTCGTTTTGGTTTTTCCTTATGTTGTTTAGGCTGGTCTCAAACTCCTAGATGCAAGAGATCTTCCCACCTCAACCTCCTCAGTAGCTGGGACTACAGGTGCACACCCCAGTGCCCAGCTTCATTCTAGTTTCAACCCACCCATCTAGCTCTAGGCAAAAAGGCTCAAAGAAAGCAGAACTGGGCCAGGCAAGGTGGCTCACACCTGTAGTCACAGCTAGATCTCAATGAGTGGAGATGGCGCTTCCACACTGGGCAACAAAGCGAGATTCCATCTCCAAAAGAAAAAAAAAAGAGAGATAAAAAATTGAATGCACTTGCCAGGAGGAAACTTCCATGTGGTAGGCTAATGCAATCTCATCAGTGAGCCCAGCACAAGTGACCAAGTGATCCGGGAGACCAAGTAAGGGAAGAAAGTGTGCTCATTCCTGCCTCCTGAGCTTCAGAAACCCTACCTTGTGGTATTTTTACATGAACTGTAGACCAATAAAATTTGTTCTCAAATTTAGCCTTATCTCTCTATTTTGCTGATATTGCCTTAATTTAGGCCTTTACCATTTTAGAGTATTCCAGATTTTTCCTGAGTTTTCTACTGCCTTGCCCTCTCCACTTTATAATAAGTCAAATCATTGAATGTGTTACTCGAGTCTTTTGTAGGAAGACTACATGCATTTTTAATTACACCTGGGTGGTGACCCTCTCAGGCTAGAAAACAGGGTAAACCACCTGTAGGTCTAAAAGTTATCTCTCTTTTAAAAATGCAGACCTTCTTTTAGTGTATTATTTCATTTTATATGTACAATGTCCCTCTCTAATGGAAATGCCTGTAAGGTATGTGTCTATATTTACTAATAAGGAAACTTAAGCGAGGAATCAATGATTTCTCAAAGGCCACAATCTTAGTAATCACCTCTTTATCACAATAAATTCCAAAAGCTACCAACTCTGTTAATGCTCAGATTAGAGTTTGATTCTCACAGAGTTATCACAGATGAAAACGTAATGATTCAAATGATCTAAATCCCCTTGACTAGTTTCCCAGTGATGGGCCAAGAATTGGCTCAGGCCTTCCTGTGGCCTAAGGACTTTCTTAGCACCTGTCTATCTTCTCTGTATCCGCAATGAATACCCACTCCCTTTTATATTTACTGAACCATTATAATCTTAGTTGTGATATACTTGACTGTTCTTTTCCTAGAAAAATGCATTTGCCAGCAATAATATGATGGATATAGTAGACTACTCTTAAGGAATCCATCCCTCCATTTCTTATTAATTACTCAATTAGTATTTACTGAATGCTTCTAGGTGCTGCAACTGTTCTAGGCGTTGAATTTGAAACCCATCTTTGCCATATATGACTATAAATTGTTTGGTAAATTGCCGTCTATATGTGCTGATACTCTGAGATGGATGATTACCAATATAAGTGATATTCAATTAAAACTTACACATTCTTTCACTACTAATCTTATCTAAATCATCGGATCATCTGCATTATAAACTTTTTAGAACACATGGCTCAGATGTTTTCTTGATTATTATTTTGGGTACTTTTGGCTGGTTGTGCCTTCACTGTCAGTTTTGCAGCTATCAGGACCTCAAACCATTTACATATACATACTTTTGTTCAGGTACATCAAAATGATTATTTTAATTATATCTATTCAGCAAGAGTCCAAGATTTGACATACATATAGTCGTTAGTAAAATATTTCACATTTTAAGATCTTATTGGTGTCCTTTACTTCATGTTTCTCTATTAATTTTGAACTTTTATCATTGTTTTGCCATTATGTTACTATGTGGGAGGGAGAAAGTATATAATTTCACGATATAATTTAATTGAAATTTGCACTTTTGTAAAGTGTACACAAACTGTTTCATATAGCACCTACTGCATAGGCTTTGTTTTCCTACTGATCTGTACATTTCAGGCAGTCCTACAATGAATAGAATGGAAGAATATGTCTCATTTCCTGTATAATGAATTTTTATTTTTTGCTGTTTATTTCTTACCTGGACCTAAATTCATTTATTATCAGATACTTTCACTGAATCTCAAGATTGGGAAAATAACATTTCAAGTAATTGTTATCAGAATGTAAATATTTGGTTTGGATTCTTAACTGGAAATAAAGCTGCAGATTAAAAGTAGTCTCATTCTAAAAGGTGTGTTTTCCAAGAAAACTTAATGAAGACCATAAATAAAGACAAGTTTATAATCCACACATTTTGGGGATATTTTGGGGATAGAGAGAAGGGACAAGTATTGAGGAAACAACGTAGGATATAAAACCTCTTTAAGGCCATAAGCAGTGGCTCACACTAGTAATCTCAGCACTTTGGGAGGCTGAGGCAGGCGGATGGCTTGAGCTTAGGAGTTCGAGACCAGCCTGGGAAACATGGCAAAATCCCATCTCTAGCAAAAAAAAAAAAAAAAAAAAGCCAAAAAATCAGCCAGACATAGTGGTCCATGCCTGTAGTCCCAGCTACTCAGGAGACTGAGATGGGAAGGTGGTTTGAACCTGGGAAGTGAGGGTTGCAGTAGCTGAGATCACACCAGTGCACTCCAGTCTTAGTGACAGAGTAAGACCCCTAACTCAAAAGAATAAATAAATAAATAAATAAACCTCTTTAAAAAGTAAAGGAAGTGGATGCATGTGGTGGCTCAGGCCTGCAGGGCTGCCTTTGGGAGGCCAGTGCAGTAAGATCCCTTGAGGCCAGGAGTTTGAGACCAGCCTGGGCAACATAGTGAGCCCTTGTCTCTACAATAAAAAATTTTAAAAATAAAGATAAAAAGAAGTAAAGGAAGGTATTCGACATCTTTTCTTCTACATCTTTACAGCTTACATGGCTTTTCAAAAATATGATATTTACTGTGAGTTTTTCTTAACTTCGTTTGTTTTTAAGTCCTCTCTGTATTGCAGCAATATTAGCAGTCTATGTTTATACACCGACAATTTCCTTTGTGGAGTATATTGGGTTGGAGGCTAGAAGGCGTGATAGGAATGAAAGGGTATGTGAACGTTATTTGCTCCAAATCCCTGTTTTATGGAGTAGACCATTTGGGATAAATTCTCCTGCCTGAGGTCATATGTCAAGGTAGTGGCACAGCCAACATCTCAAACAAGGGCCCTGGAACCCTGACTCTTTTTGTGCACATGCTTTTGCCTGGACATTCCACTCACATTCTGATTAATATTAGGGTAGGGCTTGGAATACTGGAAACCC